TATTCTATTCTATTCTATTCTATTCTATTCTATTCTATTCTATTCTATTCTATTCTATTCTACTCTTATTTCTATTCTACTCTACTCTACTCTATTCTATTCCAACAGAGGCAAACTTGAGCAAGTGCTTTTCACTGGCTCACTTCTGGCACTAAGCATCATTGCCCTTTTCTTTGTTCATGGCAAATCATAAATAATCTTTTTTTAATTGTCCGTGGATGCCACGCTCAGCCTGTTCTGCCATGTGTCTGGTGCTTTGATTTAATTCCTTTAATTAAGTAATATCAAGGAGGCAAACAAACTCATTACCAAAAGCCAACATGGGTTTGTCAAAAACAGATCATGCCAGACAAATCTTACTGCGTTCTTTGACCAAGTGACAAAGCTAGTGGATCAGAGGAATGCTGTGGATATAATTTACTTGGACTTCAGTAAAGCATTTGATAAAGTAGACCACAACCTACTACTTGGTAAGATAAAAAAATGTGGGTTAGGCAGCATCACCACCCAGATGGATCCGTAGCTGGCTGACCGGCCGTACTCAGCGTGGGGTCCTCAATGGAACCGCATCTACATGGAGGTGTGTAGTGGGGTGCCCCAGGGCTCTGTTCTGGGCCCAGTGCTCTTCAACATCTTCATCAACGATCTGGACGAGGGGATAGATGGGGAACTCATCAAATTTGCAGACGACACCAAGCTGGCAGGAATAGCCAACACTCCAGAAGACAGGCTTAGGATACAGGAGGATCTGGGCAGACTTGAACACTAGGCGCTATCTAACAACATGAAATTCAATGGTGAAAAAAGTAAGGTTCTACATTTAGGCAAGAAAAACCAAATGCACAGGTATAGTATAGGGGGTACCTGGCTCAATAGTAGCAACTGTGAGAGGGACCTCAGAGTCCTAGTGGACAATCACTTAAATAGGAGCCAGCCGTGTGTGGCAGCTGTCAAAAAGGCCAACACAGTGCTGGGCTGCATTAACAGAGGGATAGAATCAAGATCAGGTGAAGTGTTAATACCACTTTACAAGGCCTTGGTAAGGCCACACTTGGAATACTGCATCCAGTTTTGGTCACCACTATGTAAAAAAGACGTTGAGACTCTAGAAAGAGTACAGAGAAGAGCAACAAAGATGATTAGGGGACTGGAGGCTAAAACATATAAGGAACGGCTGCTGGAATTGGGTCTGTCCAGTTTAACGAAGAGAAGGACGAGGGGGGACATGATAGCAGCGTTCCAGTATCTCAGGGGCTGCCCCAAAGAAGAGGGAGTCAAGCTATTCTCCAAAGCCCCTGAATGCAGGACAAGAAGCAATGGATGGAAACTAACCAAAGAAAGAAGCAACCTAGAACTAAGGAGAAATTTCCTGACAGAACAATTAACCAGTGGAACAACCTGTCTCCAGAAGCGGTGAATGCTCCAACAATTAGGATGGAGTGGACTAGACTAGACTAGACTAGACTAGACTAGACTAGACTAGACTAGAATAGAATAGAATAGAATAGAATAGAATAGAATAGAATAGAATAGAATAGAAAATATGGAATGGTATGGTATGGGATGGGATGGGAGGGAACAGAACAGAACAGAAGGGACCTCAGAGGTCTTCTAGTCCAGCCCCCTGCTCAAGCAGGAGAACCTATCCCATTTCAGATAAGTGGCTGTCCAGTCTCTTCTTAAAAACCTCCAGCATTGGGGCATCCACCTCTAGTGGCAAGCCGTTCCACTGGTTAATTGTCCTCACTGTTGGGAAGTTTCTCCTTCAGTTTCCCTCTTCTGTTGCATTGCTCCCCCTTCAGGCAGGCCGTCCTTGGCTTGCAATCCTCTGCTTAGCGGCCACTTGAAGGTACCACGTCAATGAAAAAGGCGATGTACAAAGCAGTCCTCGCACTTATAACCGCTGTGGCGTGAGGCGATCAAAATTTGGGTGTTTGATCCGATCTATCCTGGTTTGCAGCATCCCGAGGTCAGGCGATCTGCGTTTGCGATAACCCCATAATGAGGAAAGCTGGATTCGCTTAATGACCGCAGGGACTGGCTGAAGAACCGAGGCCAAAAATAAAAATAAAATAAAGCTGGTAAAACCGGGCACAACTCAACCACCTCACAGCAGAAATCCTGGTTCACCCCATTATTGTCGTAAGCCAAGGAATCCCCCGTGAATAGCATCTTGGACACCATGCTGGTCTCTTCCCTCCGTCCGTGGTTTGTCCGTCTGGCCAAGCCGGCAGGGTTTCTTGGGGACAGGGCAGGAAAGGGTGGTGAGGACGGGGTTAAATTCTCTCCAGGACGGCTCCTGTGACTCAGTTCTCCTCCATTTGGGAGCTGCTCGGAATGGCTGGCATAGTTTACCTCAGAAGCCTCCCCCAGTTGGACCAGTGACTTCAACTGGCTGGATGCTGGGGCAGTAAATGGCAG